CGCCAGGTTAATTCATTCAAGCAATAATTCAAACACATGATTGCTCGCTTTTTTCGGGGGGGGGGGGGGGGGGGGAATTCTCAAGAAACCCAAATGGTTTTCCAACATTGTCGTGCGTCTCGCGCGCGAATGTCGAAATCATTCAAACGCCCTTGAGCGCGTGTTCGGGCGGGGGGCACGACCCCTGTCGAACAACACCATTCGGGCCAATCGCGCCCGTCGCATGCCGCGCCCGCCGCTATCGCCGACTCGCACGGAAATGCCCGCACGCCAGCGCGGCTTGCCAGACGCGCTGGGAAGTCTTCAGCGGTCAGCGCCACCGCGGCCGCGTCGGTCGCGCCAGACTAGTTGGCCGCTCTGAGCGCGAGCCAGCGGGGGCTAGCGCGGCCGCAGAGATGCACCAGCCAACGCCAGTTGGGGGTGGGTGGGTGGGATGTTTGCGCGAGCAGTGGAGTTGACAGACCATTGCAAACAACAAATAATTGTACGTCATGAAATGCACCACGCGTAGTGCACCATGTAGGTAGCACAGCACAACATAGCTCACGCCACATATATCGCACCTCGTAGAGTACGCCACGTACAGTGCATGTATTGCACCACCTACGCTGCACCACTTAGTCTACACTACATCGTATGCTAGACCACACTGTTTGAGACCCACGTTGGGTAACATACGAATAATACCTACACGACCACCCTTCGGGTGACAAGGGGGTTGGGGGGAGAGGAAACCAACTGACGACAACATCGATGACCTCGATGGCGACGAGACAGCGACGATGCACGATGCTGCTGATGATGAGAATGCAATGCCTGGAATGCTCGCTCGAGCGGCCTCGATGTCACTGTGGACCTCCTATCGCTCCCTCGGTGCAAAACCACATCTCGCAATCGATATCACACACGACCTCACACGAGATCCCGCCATCGACCTCTTTGTCTATCTCACGATCGATCTCGCCATCGTACTCTCAATATCTCTGTACATCTCTTTATGGATACCACTACCGATCTCCCGATCGTGCTCACATCGATCTTACAATCGATCTCATCATCGGTTTCACCATCGGTCTTACGATCGATCTCGCTATCGATCTTACAATCGGCTTCGCGATCGATCTCACTATCGACTTCACAGTCGATGTCACAACAGATCTCACGATCGATCGCATGATTGACCTCTTTATCGATTCCATTATCGATCTCACAATCGATCTGATTATCGCGCCACCGACGGGGCACCCCCCGCCACCGACGAGGTTTCCATCTTACAGTCGGCCCCACGATCGATCTCACTATCGATCACACAACCGATCTCACTACAGATCTCTCTATCGATCTCACTATCGACTTGACTATCGATATCATTATCGATCCCACTATCGATCTCAGTATCGATCTCACAATCGCGCCAAGACGGGGCACCCCCCGCCACCGACGGGGAATGCCCCCACCACCGACGGGGCACCTCCGCACCACTGGCGGAGCACCCCCGCACCACCGACGTGGCAATCCCGCACCACCGGCGGGGCACCTTGGGTCACAGCCCGCCCCGGGGGCGGGGCGGTCAAACGGCTCCACGGCCCCTGGCCACGGCGGCATCATTCATGTCGCGCGCCCACGCAACCTTCGCTTCGCCCGCACAGACGACACGAACACGATACCGAAACCGATTTCCCGATGGGGGGCTCTCCGTTCCACTGCGATCTCATCCCGCAACCTCCGATGCAGAACGCGGGATGCAATTCAGGTACCACACGAATGGCCAGAGAGAGGGATCTGCATACAAGTCTGTCGAATGCTACAGTGCTAGACGGGTGTACCGCCAGGTAGGGAGGACATTGGATACCACTTCAGGGGAGACATGTCTAGAGCAAAGTTCGCCTGCAGACTGAAATTTACACCACCACATGGTTGATAGACGACCCCAGGAACATTTATTTACACGAGGGAGCCAATGAATATCATTTCAAATGGGGAGGCACGTCATCACGGGGCCACCGCGTGGACTTAGCAGCGGCCGAAACGGTAGCACGGAGCCGTGACTAAACATGGTTTGAAGTGTTCGAAAAAGTTGGAAGAGCGGCGCAGCTAAGTGATTATTCCCCAGAGGTGTTTGCACTACAGGGTTATGTTTGTAGCCAGCTGCCGTCGGAACACCTCGCCGCTGTCTGACTACTCCACCCCGGCTGCCCATCACATTCGGATTTGTATTGGGGTGTGTAGTCTTGATGCCAACCCACAAAGACAACTAGCTAGGGCAACTCTGCCCAGCCCCATGAACTGATGATGACACCCATGTTGGTTTCGGCAATATGTCGCCGCTCTGTGTTCTTACATGGACAGGAGTTGCAACAGCATGCGTATACGAATACACAGACTTATTGATTATACGCTGCCGAGCGGGACTTTGACGATGTATGTCGCTTCGTTCCCCGGGTCTTAGTGCAAAAGCATCGCCACATTCGCGCGTAAGCATAATCGCGTTCGATGTTTGTGTGTGAGAGGCCCCCGCAGGGAGCTACATTATCGCTGCGACAGAGGACTGCCCCCCCAACGCGACGAAGGAGGAGTTCAGACAGCGAAACGGGCTCGACTACTCACGAAAGCAACCAGACCACCCAAAAGTAGACCAGACCACCCAAAAGTAGACCAGACCACCCGTCACAGCAGCCAGACCACCCAAAAATATATCCGATGTCGGCCAGATGTATACCAGACCACCCACCAATGCAGACCAGACCACACAAACATAGACCAGACCCCGCCCTAAAGTAAGCAACGCCTTGCAAAAATAGACCAGGCCCCGCCCAAAATTATACCAAACCGCCCGTCAATCATCAAAGCAGGCCAGACCACACAAAAGTACACCGGAATCCGCCGAAGCGTACACCACACCAAGCCAGACCACCCACAAATGGACCAGAGCCCGCCCAACAGCAAGCCACATTGCTCGCCGAAGCAAGCCAAACCAGCGAATAGTAATGGAGGATGACGATTAATAAATGACCGGGGTTCATGTTCACGCGGCGGCGCCCGGGATGACGATTAGAAAAAACCGGCCGCGGGCTGGACAACTATTTTTGATCGTTCTCCTCCAGTCAGAAAATTGTGCAGAAATAGCAGAAAACTATTTTCTTATCGTTCTCTCCGATTTTTTATTAATCGTCATCCCGCATTAGACCAGGCCCCGCACAAAAGTTCTCCCGATCGCCCCGCAGAGCAGGCCAGGCCACCCACACGCAGACCGGGCCCCGCCCACAAGCAGAGCAGGCCACCTGGCAAAGCGCAGCGAGCCAGGGCGGCAGCGTGTCGTGGAGTGGGTGCGCAACACACAACAACAGGTTCTAGTGTTTCCGAGGCCTCGCGAGTGCGCGGGAGCTTTCTGGTGTCGGTGTGGAAGGCCTGTGGCTTGGCATCGCTCGGACGTGTGCTTTTTTCTTTCGGCGAGGACCATCGAGGAGCATCCTTGATCATTTGGCGAAAAAGCCACGCACGAAACAGAAAAAACACAGGGAGTGGACGTCCGAGCGATGGCCAGTGTGGTGGTTTTGCAGGGAGACCTCTGGGAGGCTTGTTGGGAGTGTCTTGTCTCCGAGCAGCTCGGCCAAAGTGACATACTACGGTCGGCGTTTCGGGAAGCGCGCCCGTTTCGGCCAGATGTGGGCCCCATGTGGGCCTCAAACCCTCGCGTGCCCCGCTGTCGCCCGTCCTAACATCGCTGACATGCAGGCAAAGGCTCATATGCGCAAGCTCATCGGCTAACCGACACAATCCAAACTACGCACGAGCCTGGTAGATCGATGCCAACTTTGACGCAGAGCCATTTGCACGCCAAAAGGCGCACCGTCCCCACACACGCCCTTTTCACTCGAATAGTGGTCTTCTTGGTGGACCCGACTTGCGATAGCTACAGGAGGAGGAGGAGGAGGAGGGGGAGGGGGAGGAGGAGGAGGAGGAGGAGGAGGAGGAGGAGGGAGGAGGCGGAGAGTGATGAGCGAGGAGAGAGGAGAGAGGAGAGAGGAGAGAGGAGAGGGGAAAGAGAGGAGGGAGGAGGGAGGAGGAGGATGAGGAGGAGGAGGAGGGAAGAGGAGGAGGAGGAGGAGGAGGAGGAGGAGGAGGAGGAGGAGGAGGAGGAGGGAGGAGGAGGAGGAGGAGGAGGAGGAGGAGACGAGCAGGGGGGAGGTAAGGGAGGAAAGGAATGACAAGGTGAGACGGGGGCGGGGCAAGAAGACATGGCGGGCGAGGAGCGCAGCAAGAGCGAAGGGCGGGAGGGCGAAGCGTGGAGGAAGTACCGTCAACGCGCCTAGTAAGGACGCGCGCCTTCATCTAGGGTACCCTTGAGTCCTTGCCTCTGCGGCCCGTCCTTCGCCGTTTTCACTGGCCGCCCCCCGCCCCAAAAAACTAACTCCGGCCTCCAAGAGTCTTGCGTCCTTACCACCCGTCCTTACTATACGTTTTCATTGTATCTTGTGGGAGGAAGGTGGAGGAGGTATCTTTGGGAGAGGAAGACCCAGGAGCGAGGAGAGGGACGGGTGGACTGGGATGCGAGGTGGGAGGATGGGGAAGTCCGGGAGGAAAGAGCAGTGCAGGACACCAGGCGCGCTGGCGGGGGGGACGAAGACAACGAGCCAGGAAGATGCAGGGAGAAGGGTCGGGGGGAGAAGGTCGTCGGAAGCACGGGTGAGGAGGCAGGGG